CTTCCTGCGCCTGGGTTGCGGGTGTCTTCAGGGGCCTGGGCTTCTCCCCGCCCGCCATGCCTTGGGTTCCCTCTCGCAGGGTCGCAGAAGTTTAGAGCTGGAAGGGCCCTCGTGAGATCACTGGGTGCAGCCCCCCTGTTTGGGGCAGGAAAGACAAATGGGGTCAAATAGCTCCAGCGAGGTGCGCGTCCTTTTGAAGGTCTTCAGGGAAGGTGCCTGCACCGCCACTCTCCCTTTCAGCAGCCGCTCTCTGCCACACTGGGATCCTGCGCCACATGAATTGGAGCCTGGATGATCTAGTTGGGGATCACAGGCAACACATAGGCAAGCACAGGGTGAGGGGACATGCCACCTCTGAGATCCAATGCTGCCACCGGCGTGTGCGGGCAGTTGTCACTAGCCACTCTCTGCCCCCTTGCTGCCGACACCTATGCAGCTGCCTGCGGGCGGACCCCACTCGACCCCCACTTGCCGCCGCCACTCCGCTGCAGCCGCCTGCGGGCAGTTGCCATGCCCCCCACCCACCCCCACTTCAGGAGGTATGAGTCCTTCATGTTGGGGATGGTCCTGCTTTGAGCAGGGGGGTGGACTGAGCAGTTCTCAACCTTTCCCATACCAGAACCCATTTGTAAACAAACATCAGTGGCCAGTCCTGACCCAGCACCCATGGCCCCAGGACACAGCCAGGGTTGGACACAGGCATGGGTGAACCAGGCAGCGGCCTGGGGCCCAGGCCCAGACAGAAAGGGGGCCTGAAAATGATAGGTTTTTGTATTATTATTATCATTGTCTCTGGCAAAGGGGGGCCTGATACTAAAAGTTCACCTGGGGCTGCCAAAAGTCTAGGTACCATACTGGCTGTAGCCCCCAGTGTGTGGGGTATAGGGGGCACCAAGCAGCTCCTCACAGGTTGCAACTCTGCCAGCCTGCAAGGCAAAAGCTACAGTTTCCCACAACTTCCTTCTTTAAAGGAGAATCCATTTTTAAAATTTGTTTGTGACCCTTTCATATAGTCTTGCAACCTACTTTTAGGTCATGACCCATGAGTTGAGACATGCTGGACTAGATGACCTCCTGAGGTCCCTTCCAACCCTAGCTTTCTATGATTCTATGTGGAGGGAAGTGATTCTTCCTCTCAATTCTGCATTGGTGAGGCCACATCCGGAGTCCTGTGTCCAGTTTTGGGCCCCCTCCCCAGTTGGCTTGGCGGGGGGGGGGGAGAGGGGGAGGTTGTAGATACACTAGAGCAGCATTTCTCAACCTGTGGGTCATGACCCAGAAGTGGCTGACAAGAATATAGGAAAGGGTTGTGAACAAACTTTAAAAATGGCTTCTCCTTTCAAGGAGAAAAACCCAGGAAATCGGGGCTTTTCATAGATTTATAGATGCTAGGGTCAGAAGGGACCTCAACAGTTCATCGAGTCCAACCGCCTGCCTAGGCAAGAAAGAGACCCCAGCCAGATGCCTATCCAGCCTTCTCTTAAAGACCCCCAAGGTAGGGGAGAGCACCACCTCCCTTGGAAGTCCATTCCAAATTTTGGCCACCCTTACTGTGAAGAAATTTTTCCTGATATCTAGCCTAAATCTGCTGTCAGTTTGTGACCATTGTTCTTTGTTACTTCATGAAGTGCCCTGGTGAACAGAGCATCTCTGATCCCTTCCTGCGTCCCCCTAATGAATTTGTAGGCGGCCACAAGATCACCTCTCAGCCTGACTGGCCTATAATTACTTGACTCCTCCTCCAAGGCACTCCCAACCCATCCAAGAGGCCTGTCTGGGATCCTCCTTCCTCCCCTTCTTAAAACTAGGGACCACACTGGCCCTTTTCCAGTCCTCCAGGACCTGACCCAAGTGCCAAGAGTGCTCAAACAGGTTCTGCTATGACACCGGCCAATTCCTTCAGTACTCTCGAATGAAGCTCATCCGGGCCTGCTGACTTGAACACATCCAGGCCATCCAAGTGACTCTGCACCAAGTCAGCATCAACAGTTGGTGGGCTGGTGTCCCTCTGATGCCTGTCTAAGAGCCCATTAGGAGACTTATCTTGACCCCTGTTCAAGAACACCGAGGCAAAAAACTCATTGAATAGCTCAGCCTTATTCCCCCCCTCCCTGCCCCCCCACCCCAGTCTGTCACTAATTGCTCCTACTTGTTCAGTAGGGGTCCTATGCTGACCTGCGCCTTCCTTTTACTCCGTACATACCTAAAAAAAATATTTTTTATTGCCTTTAATTTGTGTTGCCAGCCTCAGCGCTGTAGTTACTTTGGCCTTTCTAACTGCCTCCCTGCAAGTGCGGGCCAAGAAAGTATACTCCTCCTTGGTAGCTTCCCCCTGCTTCCACTGCCTATATGCCTTCTTTTTTGCCCTGAGGCTCCCCTGGATTTTCCTGTTTAGCCAAGGAAGTTTTTTGGCTCCTTTCCCCCTTTTCCCTCGTTTGGGGATCATCTCCCTCTGTGCCTGAAGGATTGCCTCCTTTAGGAACAATCACCCTTCCTGGACTCCCATCTCACCAATATTCCTATCCTACGGTGCATCCTTGACTACACTCCTGAGCACACTGAAGTTAGTCTTCCTAAAGTCAAGCACTTCCACCCTGCTAATTATCTTACCCACCCTATGCCGTATGGTGAATTCAACTGATTGGTGGTCACTGTCCCCAAGGTGACCACAAATCTGCAGCTCCCCTACCAGATCCTCCCCCGTAGCCAGCACCAAATCCAGTAAGGCATTCCCCCTAGTGGGACCATGTACCTCCTGTGCTAGGTGAAGGTCCTGCACGCAAGTTAAGAACCTACATGAATGGTTGGATTTGGCTGACTGCTCCTCCCAGCAGATGTCAGGGTAGTTTAGGTCCCCCATGACAACCACCTCAAGCTGCCTCAAGAATTCCAAGTCTAGCTTTTCCTCCTGGTGCGGTGGTCTGTAGCAGACCCCCACCACCAAGTCCCTTTCCCCTTGATCTCCATGTATCCTAACCCACAATGCCTCAACTGTCTCCTCCTCTGGTCCCATTTTGATTAGGGTGGATGTATAATGCTCCTTTACATAGAGAGCAACCCCACCCCCTTTCCTCCTTACTCTGTCCCTTCTGTACAACCTGTAGCCCTCAATGTGTACTGCCCAGTCATGGGTAGGGTCCCACCGTGTTTCCACTAACTTCAAGTTATTACCTGCAAGCAGAAGTGCAAGTTCTTCCTGCTTGTTCCCCATGCTCCTAGCATTAGTATAGAGGCACCTGAGCCCTCCAAATGGTGCCTTTCGTGCCTTGTTCTGATGCCCAAAGGGCCCCTTGGTACTTACCTGGGGTGTACTACTGCATGTCTCGCAGTTTGTAGGTTCTAGACTCTCTCCATCTCCTGCCTCCCCGTCTCACATCATACTTAGTTTAAAGCCTGACGTAGGAGGTCAGCCAACCTGTAAGAAAAGAGACCCTTACCTTTTGCGGAGAGATGAAGCCCATTATGTCCCAGGAGGTCCCTTGCATGGAAGTGCGGATCGTGGTCCAGGAAGCCAAAACCCACATGATGGCACCAACTCCGGAGTTGCGGGTTGACTTCTCTGGCACAGGTGATGTGATGCCTACTGCAACCGCTGACCGGAAGGATTGACGAGAAGACCACCTGCACCCCCCGTCTTCCTAAGCCTGGTCCCAAGAGCCC